TGCTTGTCAAAGCCAGTTCTGATTAATCTTCTTTGTCAGTGTGTCCTTTGCCATTCCCTATCACTCCTCCCTGAGAGAGACTTCACCCTGATTCATAACCTATACACTGAAATTTAGATGTAAATATTCTGAATACTGGATTTTTCTGAAAATAAAAATTAATATGCAATGCCACATGCTTCATACTTCATTAATCTCCGGAGTCCATTACATTCCCACTATTTCCCACTGTTGCTATTGTTGCTAGGTGCCCGAGTCAGTTCCAGCTTCCAGTGACTCCTTACCAGCCCTGCATCAGTCTCACAAGCACTTCTATGTGTGAGCTCACTCTTGCAACACTGTACGAATTCATCTCATTTAGAATTAGAATCTTCTTTTGGCGTTGACCCTCTACTTTATTATGCATCATGTCCTTGTCCACAGACTAGTCCATCCTGCTAATATGTCCAAGGTACACAAGACGAAGTCTTGCCTTCCCCCCTCCTAAGGAGCATCTTCACTGTCCTGCAAGGTTAAGTTCTTCAAGCAGCACATGGAATAGTCAATATTCTTTCCCTATACTATAATTCAAAGGTATAAATCCTTCTGTGGTCTTATTTATTATTCTACTTTTGCATGTGTATGAGGCTATTGAAAAAATACCATGGTTTGGGTCAGGCCCATTTTCATCTTCAATGTGACATCTGCATTTTAGCAGTTTAGGGAGTTCCTCTGCACCACTGTTAATGATGCTAAATTTTATGACCTTGTTGAGGTGGATACTAGTAGATACTTCTAAAACTCAGATACATTTGCTCATTCACAACTAAGTAAGTCACACGATGTCAACACATATCTATAAATCTTGCTTACCCAGTTACTATATTGGAAGTTACATGATTTTTTAATCTCACCACTCTTCTACATCCAAAAGGAAGTACTGTCTAAACATACAATCTTCATCATTCATCAACCTGGAAAGGCAGGCCAAATGCATACTCTTTTCCTTTAATTACTATTTTTCACAACAATAGCAACTGTTTTACCTTTTCTTTCCTTTGCATTAAGTATCACTATAAATGACTTTCATCTATTTAATATTTTACCATCAATTACAATATGTCAAAATATCTTTGAACTCATTTTTGTTTTTATTTTTTTAATTAATTTTAATGAATATTTAAAAATATTTTGGATTTCCATACATTCATTGTTGCATGTTTCTCCCTGCCCACCACCCCTCCCCCATCTTTGTACTCTTAGTATCTTTTCATTTTTATTGACAATTGTTGCTGTTGTTAAGTGCTGTCAAGTCACAGGCAACTCACAGTGACCTTATAAACAAAAGACCTGAACACCTGTATAATTTCCATCCTTTCTCCAGGTTCACAGGGTTTCTGGAGGCAAGCTATTTCAGAAGCGGATGCCACTCCTGCTTCCAAGCTGGTTTTAATCGGGAAGCTCCACCAAACACTGTCCACCATGAGTAATCATTATCGCATTTGAAACATCAGTGTCACAGTGTTCAGCTTCACAGCAACAACGAGTTACCTCTGTACAGCAAATGGACAGACCAGGGCTATATGACCTAGAATATTTCACCAAAAACAATTAAAAACAGGCCTGAGGGCCGCAGATTAGAGTCACCCACCTTTGGCTTGGTAGCATCACTTTCTGTCCACTAGGTCAACTGATCTCTCTCTATGCTGTTGTTGTTGTTAAGTGCTGTAGAGTCGTAGGTGACTCATAGGGACCCTATGAACAAAAGACCTGAACGCTTTGCATAACTTTCATCCTTTCTCCAGATTCATAGGGTTTCCAGAGGCAAGCTATTTCGGAAGTGGATGCGACTCCCACTTCCAAGCTTGTTTTAATCGGGGCGCTCTACCAAACACTGTCCACCATGGGTAACCATTATCACATCTGCCACATCAGTGCCACAGTGTTCAGCTTCACACACACGCAGAACACTTAGGGATCTTGTGGCTTTCTTTTTGTTCCAAGTGGGCATGGGCAGAGGGGATTTGCCAGATGAATTGGGGGTGGTCTCTAGCACAGAAGTCAGCCAGCATTTGGGCATGCCAGAATTGTAAAATACTGACATTTTGTCCCTGCCTGTAGGCTGAGGGTGAGAGCCAGAGTGTTGAGTATCTCGGTCCCAGATGGACCTCTGAAGGACCTCTCGCGTCTTCAAGAGGGACACACATGTATGGAATGCTTGAGACTGACAATTACAAATATAATCATTTAAAGATAGATTGTTTTATGTTTATCATTAAATTGACAAAGCATAGTTTATTTTTTAAAAAATGGTAAAATATTAAATTGCTTATCTTCATATCCTGGTCTTTACTACAGAAGCCCTGGTAGCACAGTACATATTTTATGACAGTACTTATTTTGTGAACCAGTCAGTCAGTAATTTGAATTCACAACCTGCTCCATGCAAGGAAGATGGAGGGATGCTGAGTCAGATCCAGCTCAAAAGCAATGGACTTGGTTCAGTCTTTCCTCCATGTGAAGATATACAGCTGGCTGCTGGGATTATTATACTATGTTTTTATCACTTCTGCTACATTCTAATATAAGAATTTGTTTTTTTTTATTTTTTTTATTTTTTATTTTGTAGGGCAATTGTTACCAAGCTGGCCACAATCTATGTTCTGCCTGGTCACAAGGCGTTCAGATTCCTGTGGGGTTTGTGGTAAACAGAGGGGCCACCTGTCAGGTCCCCTGCTCTGAGCACATAATATAAGAATTTGGAGCTGTGTCCTACAGGGGTTATTTTAATCTCTTTTATGTCATTAAATTTTTTTTTAAATAAAAATTTCTTTTATATTGATTTGCTTACAAAGTTCATACACATTGTGTTTCATACTATTCTCACTGACATGTGTTTTGTACAATCATTTCCATTCATAATATTTTATGAAATTAATCAGTATTGAACTATGCCCTCCATTACCCTGTCTTTCCAGATCCACCTCGGATCTTTCCCTTTTCCTTTACCCAGCCCTCCCTCTACCCATCAAATTGTGCAACCCTGTATTTCCCCTGCCCACCCTCACCTCTCTACTCCTACCTTTCCCCCTTAGATCCTCACACACGTTTTACTAGTTATCTTTCTATTAAAAAAAAAGGTATTATACAGTATTTGTCCTTATAAGACTGAATTCGTTCACTCATAATGTTCTCCAGTCCCTCCATCCCTCCCAAATTATGCAGTAATCTTTTAATACATTAAATCTTAAAATTTAAATCAACCCACCTGTTGAACAGGACTGTCAACTGTAAACGCTTTATAAACAGTCGAAGCCTGGCTTTTACTTCCTTTGCTCCAGATCACTGTATTTCCAGCCATATAGAGTTCCTCATCATGGTCCACTTCTCCAATCTCACTTACACCTTCTCTTAACTGCCAGCTTTCCTGAAAAATTAATTTATGTATTCTTTTTCAATAACGTAGACCAAGACCTGCTAATGAAATTAAACAATAATTTAAATTGTAAGTCTCCTACTCTATCTAATTAAGGCTTGTTCCAAGTTAAAGAGACTTAGCAGGTTCAGTGTCACTGATAACTGAACGGCACACCTGTGTGTACGAGCATTAACATGAATTCGTACAAAGTGCACACCCACAAATATGCACACTGTAGCTCACAGATTTTCACAAACAAGGATCGAAATATTTTGTTACGCCTGTACTTTATACTCTAGCAAAATTAGAAATCGATCAAAATTACATCTTATTTATAGACTGAAAAACTAACTATTTAATATGAATGGGAGACTAAAATGTTTATTAAGGCTATAGTAAAGTAGTGGGGGAAAAGTCAGTGCACATGGGAATTACCAGGAAAGTTCATACACAAAGCATTATTCTTTCTTTATGGCATACACACCTTCCCTGTCCCATTCATCAAAATAAATGGAAGAGACTGAGTTTGATATTCAGGCTCCCTTTGCTGAGATTCTGCTATATCAAAGGAGTATATGAAAATTGAAAAAGGTAGCACGAGCTATGATTTTCAGACACACTTATGTTCCACTTTCCTACTTAAAAACTATTGTTCTTCCTAGTTAAAAGTAATATTTAGGAGCTCTGGTGGCCTTGTGGCAAGAAGCTGTGCTGCAATCCCAAAGACGCATGGTTCGAATTTACCAAATGCTCCACTGGTGAAGGAAGGACAATCTCCTTCTGTGCCAGTTGGATCTGATTTGACAGCACACAAGGTGGGGGAATAATATTTAGTTCCTCCTCTAAAAAAATGTGGGTCTCTTGCATCAGGGATCATGTCTAATCTCTCTGATCTAAGTGCCAAATGTCATGAAATCCAATCAAAATACATTAAAAAGAAAAGATTTTCAACATAGTGCACAGTGTATAAATTAATCCTCATCACAAAATCAAATGAGTTCTATATGTCAAAATAGCCATGACACTGACACAATTTTTTCAATCTGGAGGAAATGGTCAAATATTAAACTCTACCCTAGAAGTAGTATTTTAGTCATCTCTTAATTGTAATTTAACAGAAGTCTTAGATTTCAATTAGGTTATATCCCCTCACAAAAATTCGTGGGAAACTTCATGGTACCTTCTGTTTCTCATGGATCGTGACCTCCTGAAGGGATCCCACCAAGCCAGCAGCACCATCAGAGGACCATAACTCAGAGGCAGGCTGCAGCTGGCGAAGCTGAAGGTTCAGAGCATTAGGATGGTGCTTGCAATGGTCTCGACCAAAAGGAACAAATTCCTGCAAATCCCTGGCTGCAATCATTGTTGCCCTTTCTTCAAAGAAGTTCGACATGGGTTCCAAATATCAACATTATTTCTGCATGAATTCAAACATTCTCATGAGCTTATAGAAGTTAAAATCAGAGTAAAAACAAAATTTACAGAATCAATTCTTAGACGAGTATCAAAGTTATCCTTTTGAATACTGTAATACTGATGTTATAACATCAAATGGCATTCCATGTCTGACTGTCACAGGCAGATGCAGTTACTGTCATATTTCAATCACAGACTAACTGAACAATGACAGTTACCACTGTAAAAAAAGTGTTGCCCAACAACTATCCCACAATGTTTCTATACTTCATGTCTTGAAGATATTGAGATAAGGTGTACTCTTCAATCCTATGACTATGTGACTTCTCCATATTTTGGGTCATTTCTATTCAGATGCTAGAATCTCATTCAAAAACCAAACCTAGAAGGCACACAGTTCAAATCCACTAGATGCTCTGCTGAAGAAAGAAGAGAAATCTCCTGTACTATTCAGATCCAATTCGATGGTACATATACACACTCAAAATTTCAAATAATAAAAAAAAAATTTTTAAACCCCTCAAACCTAAAGGATCAATAGCAACTGAAATGAGACAAACAGAAACATGTATACTCAGAGGCTAACTACTGCTTTCAGTTGGCTAATTCACAAGAGATCTATTATTAAAATGTCATGCATAGTTTTGACACTCCAACCCCACCAAATAAGTAACACTCACTTCACTCACTGGCATGGAGTTGGAACTGACTCAGAGATAACCCTCCAGGTTTTCAAAGGCTGTACAGCTCTCAAGAGAAGAATGTCCATCTTTCCATCGTGTAATAGCTGGTGGATCGGAATAACTCACCTCTTTGCTGGCAGCACAACTCCCTACCCACTGGGCCACCAGACCACTGCAGAATAGATATAACTATACTCAATTCCAATTACCAGTTCAAATCTGGGGGTCAAAACAGACATAACTCTTGCCATACACAGTTGGCTTATATTCATTCAGATTTAAGGGTTTTAGCATTCAGTTAGCGTTACCTCACATAGTTTATTATTACAAAAATTTTGATGAGTCAATGCACGGCCCTCTATCCCCCAAGTATTTCTAAATTCAGTAATTGACAGCTGGTAAAATTCTGACACTATGGTATATAAGGTGTAGGTGAGCTAATAGCATCATTTTTTAAGTTGCAATCATCAAAGAAATCAAAACAACATCCAATGTTAGTCCTACAGAAAACTTTTAGAAACTGTTCTAAACACTGATTAGATGTTCCTTAAATTCTTCATCTTCTGTCTCTTCTGACATCTGTCACAATGTTTTCTGTGCTGCACAAACACCTCAAAATTTAGAGTTCCTCTAGAATCAAATGATAGACTTAGGGTAACTAAAACACAAAATATGTCACAATTTTTTTAAAAGAGTGTCATCCACTTACTAAATAGCATGCCTCTGGAAACTCTGTGAACTACGATAAATGACAAGTTATAGAGGGCTTCAGGCCTTTTGTTCATAGGGTCGCTATGAGTCGTGTTCGGCTGATGGCAATCAACAACGACAACATGTCACAATTCTGTTTTATTTTTCTCTTGCTAGAAATACACACTGCATTACTATAATACTAATCTACAAAACGTACAAGAAAATACAATTCTGTTAGCCTTCCTATGGGAGTTCTGGGGGCCTAGTGACAAGCAGCTGCGCTGCAATCCTGAAGGCACATGGTTCGAGGCCAGCCACCGGCTGCTCCGCAGAAGGATGGATGATCTCCTCCCCAGCATTAACTTGCCTCTGTAAACGCGCCGGACAATCAGCTATGGGTAGGTTCCTACGTCACACTCAACGGGGAAGCCCCACTTCGCGTAGTTTTAAATGTGCACGTGCACTATTCTTATGACTGCTGGAAAAGGATAGAATTATATCCAAGTACACTCCCTTCGTTGGTCCAGGCATCAAACGTTACTGCTCTCGCGGCTTGTCAATGTGTTCGCTCTTAGTAAAAGCCTACCGACAGGAGATCACCCACTAGGCTGCCACTGAAGGATGGATGACCCGAGACTAGACCCGAGCTGAGCGACGAGGCCAAGCCTGCTCGGTCGCTGGCCCGAAACCAAGGCAGCAGTAGGCGGGAGCCCGACAGAGCCGCGCGGAGGCCCCCCAACCTGCGCCCCAGCACTCAGGGGCTGCGCCGCCATCCCGCGGCCCCGCGGCCCCGCCGCCCGCGGTTCGAATCCACGCATGCCAAGCGCCAAAGGGCCGCGCAGGCTCCGCTCTCACAATTCCCAGGGAGCCCACGGGAGGCTCCGAGACCCTACACGACCAGGAGGAGAAGGCGAATCCCACAAAGCCGGCCCTAGGACGCGCTGAGGACCCTCTCAGGCCCCAGCCCATGACCCCACCCGCTCCGGGCACCAGGCGCTGGCTGGGCACGAGGCACAAGACGGGCAGGCAGGCTCTCGAGAGCCCGGCCGCACCTGAGTGACTCGGGACCTGGCGGCGCGGCGAGCCCCGGCTGCTCCCCGGAGACGCGGGGCCCGGAGAGGCCCGAAGACAGCGGCGGGTCGGTCACGGTGTCTCCTCAGCCGCTGGGGCTTCTCATCGCTCTCAGGCTCCCACTCCCGAGGCCAACAGGACTGAGACGACAGCAGGTCGGATGAGGCCAGTGAGAGCGCCTGCGGCTGCTCAGAAAACGTTCAAATGGACGCTTCCATCTTGACGTTCCCGTCTTCCCTCGCGTCGGGGCGGGGCCTCGCCGGGAGGCTCGCGGAGTCCCCGCGGTCCTGTTGCCCGCGGAGTTGCCTGCCACTCTAGCCTCCCTGTGTACAACAGCTTTGAAGCCTGCGCTCTACTGAGCCGGTCTCACTGACTCCAGCACATCTACTCCCATTGCCCCAGGCACTGTATCAGACCTTCTTATCGGGGGTCTTCCTCTCCTGTGCTGTCCCTCCATTCTTCTGAAGATGATGTCCTTCTCCAAGGACCAGTCCCTCCTGGCCACATGCCCAAAGTATGGGAGAGGGAATTTCAGAATTCTAACCAAGAACTACAGCCCTCAATATGGATTGAAACTCAACATCAAGAAAACAAAGATTCTCACCACTGGGCCGATTAGCAGCATCATGATGGATGATGAAGAGATTGAGATTGTTCACAGCTTCAGTTTGCTTGGCTCCACAGTCAACAGTCTTGGTACCAGCAGCCAAGAAATTAAAAGACGAATTGCATTGGGAAAGTCGGCTGTCGGAGACCTCTCCAAAGTACTAAAGAGCAACAATGTCAGTCTGGAGACTAAGGTGCGCCTGACACAAGCCATGGTCTTTGTATTTACTTGCTATGCATCAGAGAGCTGGACAAAAACTGGGGATGATAGAAGGAGAGTTGATGCCTTTGAGCTTTGGTGCTGGAGAAGAATATTGAATTTACTATTGACTGCTAGGAGAACAAACAAGTTCATTCTGGAGAGGGTGAAGCCAGGCTGCTTCCTTGAAAGCAAGGATTCTGAAGCTCCATATGACATACTTTGGACATGTTGCAAGGCGAGATTGTCCTTGGAGCAGGACGTCAGGCTTGGGAGGGTGGAGGGACAGCACAAGAGAGGAAGACCCTCTATGAGATGGATTGATTCAGCCACTAGGGTAATGGGGGTAGACGTGTTGGAGACAGTGAGATTGGCAAGGGATAGAGTAGGGTTTAGGGCTGTTGTACATAGGGTCGCTATGAGTCACAGGCACATAACAACAACAACCTCCAAGGAAAAACTTGGTTTCACTCTCTGCAAGACAGACTTATTTGTTCTACTGGTTGTTCATTTTATGTTCCTGACTTCTCTAGCACCACAACTCAAAGGCATAGATTCTTCTTCTGTGATCCTAGCTCTCTCATGCATAGCAAGTAATTGAAAAGACCATGGCCTGGGGCAGGTGCACCTTAGTCTCTCGACGTAAATCTTTGCTTCCCAGTACTCTGGAAATGTTTGTGATAGCAGATTTAACTAATGCAATTTGTCTTTTGATTTCCTGACTGTTAGTGTCAAATTTCTTTGATTGTGGAGCAGAGCAAGCTGTAATTGTTAACAACTTCACTCTCTTCTCCATCTAACGTGATGCTGTCAGTTGTCCCAGTGGTGGGAATCTTTGTTTTCTTTTTTTTTTATTTTATTTGTATGTTTGTGTACCGTCAAATCGGATCAGACTTGTACAGGAGGAGATTGTTCCTCCTTCTCCAGCAGAGCATCTGGCGGATTTGAACTGCGCATCTCTGGGATTGCAATGCAGCTTCTTGCCACTAGGCCACCAGAGCTTGCTGAGAATCTTTGTATTCTTGATGTTGAGCTTCAATCCACATTGAAGGCTGCAGTCCTTGATCTACTGCAGCAAGCACTTCAGGTCCTCCTCAGTTTCAGCAAGCAGGGTTGTGTCATCTGCATAAAATAGGTTGTTTATGAGTTTTCCACTAATCCTGAAGCCACATTCCTCCTCATAAAGCTCTGCTTCCTGAATGATCTGTTCTGCATATAGATTGAAAAGGAATGGAAACAGGGTGCATCTCTGACACTCTCCTTTTCTAATTTTGAACCCTGCAGTGTTCTCTTGCTCAGTTCTGAGAACTGCTTCCTGGTCTGAGTATAGATTTCGCATGAGCACGATAAGAGCCCTTGAATCTCCAGGTTTACCTCCAAGCATTGAAGAGGAACTCACAGAGTACCAAAGCAGAAGTGTTTCTGCAAATCCCTATGATGGAATGCTCCTGATACAGATCTTTCTAATGTCCTGTCAAGAGCCTGAATTACCACCCTCAAGTTCTGCTCCCCTATCCTCTCCAAACCATCCTCCACTTTCCACTCTTTCAATCATAGTTCTTTGAGATTAAGAGAAGTTAATGATCTATATGTTGTTATTATTGTTATGTGTCTACCAGTCAGCTAAGGCTCATAGTGACCCTGTGAACAACTTTGGCTCTGAGCCTTGCCCTATCCTGAGCTGTTCTCAAAAAAGGTGATCAAACAGAATGAGGAAATTGTTGAGCAATATCATTAATATCATATGCA